GGAGGGGGGGGTTTGGGGGCTCTGGGGGGTGCCCACAACCCCCTCAGCACCCTTAGAGTGAGGACAGGAGGATTTGGTAGGACCCCTCCCATGGGAACCAGCAGCCCCCCAGCATGGGACAGGCAGCACAATGTCCCCACCCATGTCCTGGTACCCTCCCTGCTGGGATCACAGCTCCTGGGAAGCCACCCCTGAGCCTGCAGTGGGGCTCCAAGCAGCTTTGGGTGTCCCCAGACCCAATGGGGTGACCTGGAACTACAGGATGCCACCAACTGCTGGGGTCCCAGCAGGATCTGGGTTGTTGTCCCAACCCAGTGGGGGATCCAGCACCGGGAGCAGATGTAGGTAGGAATGGGGTGTGTTGATCATGTCTGCACCCCACAAATGGCCATCATGGGAGTGTGGGCTTGGCCTTGAGTTGGCAGACAGGGTTTTGGGTCCTTCTCCAAGCCAACCTTGCCATGGTGGCCCCATCCCCAGGTGTTCCCAGGATGGCCCAGGCCGGTGTCCCCATCCTTGGTGGCTCCTACCACCCTGGGAAGCTCCCCAGTTCCCCCAGCTCTCCCCAGTCCCCCCCCCAGCTCAGGCTGCAGCTCCCAGGGGAGCTGGTTTTGGCACAAAGCTCCTGGAGAACCCGGGGCTCCTGCTCCCATCTCTGGGGTGTGAGATCCCAGCTCCCTGCTGGGAAACGTGTCCAGGCAGAGCCCTGCGCTGCAAGATGGGCCTGAAATGTTCCCTGGGCCTGATTATTCATTCCTTTTTTCTTCTTTGTGTTGGTTTTTTTTTGGGTGTTTGTTCTGGGCCCCCACCCTCAGCACTCTCTTGGCAGTTAAATTAAGGATTGTGATATTAATTCCAAGTGTAAGTCACCCAGAACAGCAGCTGATGAGGTTGTGTCCCCCCTAAAGTGGCCACCCTGGCGTGGGGTAAAACAGAAAATATCCCCAAATCGACCCAAATTTCCATTCCCCTTTGAAGTCCTGTCCCCATTTGCCACCGGGGGGGCTGGAGCTGTGGTGGTGCAGGGGTGGGATGGGTGATGGGAACCCCTGGGGGGATCCCTGGGAAGCTCTTGTGCCACCTCTGACCTTCCCCTCCGGCTCCGTAGGTGGGAGAGACGTTTTCTCCTGAAACGAGTCCCAACCAGCTGATCAAAATAGAGTCCCTCAAGGTGACGGTCGACTTCTTGAAGGTGCCCTTGGGCCTGAAGAAGCCCCCTCTGAAGGAGGCCCTGGCTGCTGTCCCAGGGCCGGGGAGACCCAAGGTCCTCGGCGTGGAGCGGCACAAGCCCCGGCGCCCCGACACCATGGACAATGAGTCGCAGTACTCGGGCTATTCCTACAAATCCGGGCACTCCCGCAGCTCCCGCAAGCACAGGTGAGGGGTTGGTGGGGTTTCCCTGTCCCCAGTGGGGTGTTGCTACCCTGGGGTACCCACCTTGCTCCCTCCTCCTGCCTTCCAGGGACCGGCGGGACCGACATCGCTCCAAGAGCCGGGACGGGAGTCGGGGGGACAAGTCGGTGACCATCCAAGCACCTGGAGAGCCCTTGTTGGACAATGAGTCCACTCGGGGGGACGAGAGGGTGAGTTGGGCAGGGGGGAAGGAAAGGGTGGGCGTCTTGGGGGTGCTGCTGAGGGTGGGAGCTGCTGGGGGGAGCCAGGGGGGCTCCCGGTGTTCCCGGTGGAGCCAATCGGGCTGACCCGTGGCTGTGGGAAGGAGGCAAGAGAAAGGGGGTCCTGGCATCCCAGGGGAGCAACCAGGGTGGGCACGGGCTGTGCCCAGGGTGGAAAACACCCTAGGGATCTAATCCCTAGGGATCAACTCCCTGGGGATCCACTCCTGAGGGTGTAAACTCCAGCTCCTGGCTCGGTGCCAGCCGGGCCGCGTCAAGGTGTGATCATTCCAGCCCAGCTCCCATGGGATCACTCTGGGAAGTGGGTTGGGTGTGAAGGAGCCCATCCCAAGCTCCATCCCTCCACCAGCTGCCTGATCCTGGGGGGATCCCTTGGCGTGGAGCTGCCGTGCCCCCTGTGCTGGGTGCTGGTGGAGCTCCAGCTTTCATCATTCCCAGCCGCCCACGCCGGTGGCTCCGGCTCTTTTCATCTTCCCTCACTGAGGAGCCGGCGCCGGCGGAGCTGGGGGTGGTGGTGGCTGAGCCTGCCCTGTCCAGTCGTGGCCAGGGAAAGCCCGTGGAATCATGGATTTCCCTGGAAATGGGTAGAGAGATGGACTGGTCTTCCTTGGACCCTCCTGCACTCCACACCTTCCCAGCCGCCCACGCCGGTGGCTCCGGCTCTTTTCATCTTCCCTCACTGAGGAGCCGGCGCCGGCGGAGCTGGGGGTGGTGGTGGCTGAGCCTGCCCTGTCCAGTCGTGGCCAGGGAAAGCCCGTGGAATCATGGATTTCCCTGGAAATGGGTAGAGAGATGGACTGGTCTTCCTTGGACCCTCCTGCACTCCACACCCCTCTGGAAAAACCCCTGGGTTGGGGCTTTTGGTTTTGCGGTTTAGCCGCTTCTCCTCCCTCTCCCGAGGTTTTAACTGGGGAAGGGTCTTTTCCACACCCTTCCTGCTGGAGGGAAGGGGGGAGTCTTGGAAGAGGTGGGAGACCTGGTTGGCTCTGAGCTGCTGGTGACTTGGTCCTGCCCTGGAGGAGCAGCAGCCGCCGGCGCGGCGGCGGCACCGCGG